AAATTGTTACTAAAGCAATCATAATTTTAAAGTGTACAATTGCAATCACATCTCGATATAAATAGTCTCGCTTTACGTAGTTTCGTTTCGCGTAACTTTACAAATTTATTTTACAATTTTTGTCGACGTGTAGAAAAGATATTTAAGATATTCAAGATATTTAAAGATTTAGGTTTGAACATATTACAAAATATTTTTATAGCACATAATAAAATGTTTCAGAAAGTATTTACTCTTCTAAAATAAGAACTTACTGAGATGATGAAATTTTTTGTGTAGCATATAAAGAAATATGATTTTTAATAGCTGAAATGACGATTTCCAGAATTAACTGAATGTTTTAAAAATGGATTGTATCTTTTTATAATTGGACAATAACGAATTTCATTGAAAAAAGAGTTAAGAACAAGAATGTACATTTATATTTACTCTTATAGTTACTTTAAGAGGAAGTTGGATAATTAGAATCAGTCTACGTATTTCCTGAGAGTGTTGAGTGAAAGGATTCATGATGAAATCATAACTGTGATTACTTCTATTCATTAAAATTTCCAATTTGCAGTTCTCAAAAGATAGAACTTAATGCTCTTTTCAGCGGAGAGAGTTATTTTGCCTCGCGCGAATCACATATTTCAAATTCGGGTGCAATAGAGAGTAGCGCTAGCTTTCCCAAATTTCGCAATTTAAAATTCTCTTTTTCTGCAAAAGGTTTCTCTCAAACCTGCAAAAACAGAATTTATTTCATGAGAACAGTTTCGCAAAACTAACCTTTTTAAAACTAGAGAATTATAACAATCGAGGAAATCGACAAGACAATTGAGTAAACTATAATCCGTTTACATTTCCACGATTAGTAATCACGCGATGATTACACGTTATTACGCGATGATTGCGACGATTCAATGATTCACGATTACAATTACACTGCAAATTACACGCGATTCCAATCCAATTTCATTCCAATCTTATCCTGCAATTGTAATCAATTTAAAATATGCTCAACTTTCCATCCTAATAGTTTTGGCATCACTTGACGTCATTGATAAATCTTGTTCTAATGTTCTTCGCCATTTCAACAACAACAAAATTCCAAAAAATCGGCTATTTTTCAGTCGTTCAAACCAAAACAACCCCTTGAGTCACGTTGGTTTGAAAACACGTCACCCGGTACACGACGCATCAACAGCAGAGGAAGAAAGCGCGACAGCGGCCAGGGGACCGACGTGTCTCTATGTTTCCGAGGGAAACTGTGTCTCTGGGAAAGTGGAAACGATATCTTTCCGCGGCGGCAAGCCCTAATGACGTTCGAGAAAGTCAGGAACGCGATACCGGCGAACGGATGCAGCGCGATGAAAAATTGGATGATGGCTTCCACCCCTCGGTTGTGCTTGTAGCGGTGCACCAGAGACGCTTACATCGTCGTTGGCGTCGTTCGCGGAAATGCTACAGCGAAAAAGCCTTTCTCTTTCGTGGTGTCGAGACCGTGGTGTGCGCACGAGAGAGAGACACACAGGGAGAGAAGGGGCTAGGTGAAAGAACGAGACGGCTACAGCGGAATTCACGAGTGTTTCTCAGCGAGGAACGCCACGGTGAAAAGCCCCGTTGGATCTCGAGGCTTGCCAACCGCCTCATATTTTATGAGCCATCCCCTCATTCGCTGATGCTTTCACGCGTACCCGTATCGAAGTAACACGCCAAACGACCCGCCTTCACTCTGAATTTGTAATTCCGCGGATCGCGATTCTTTTCCCACGCCGACGCGCGCAGTCAATTTGTCCGGAATTGGGTATCTCTGGCTGGTTTAAGGGGAACCCTGATTGACTCGGAAGGGGAGGTTCGTTAACCCTCGAATAACGTTGAGGCCCCTTTAATTACATCCCTGCTGTGATGGAGATATAATACGGGAACACTAGGAATGGGGTCAGAGTGTTCTTGATCCTTGAGGGTGTGCTCTTTTATCTAGGGTCAAGAGGTAGATTTTTTTATATTCTTTTCCTGTTAAATAAGTTTCCTTAAAGGCACTTCAACGATAAAGGTTACTAACGACTACTATAAATTACAAACTGGAAATAACATATTTTGCTTGAGTCATTGTGGTATATATTATTAGATGTGTTAAATTTGGTCAAATAAGTTGATCTTTTTAAGAAACTGGATAACTTTTTTGCAGCCTGTAATTAATTTATATTATTAGTATTATGAATGATAATTTTTGTCTTGACAGATACCTAAATTCTATATATATATATTTTTTTTTTCATCATAACGTTTCAATATCAATACTTAATTTAATGCAATATTCACACAAATGTCACCGTGATTATCAAATGTTAACAATCTCTTGCATTTTCAATCACAGATCTTTGCTTAAAAGGGATTACTTGTAAACGTGGTAACTTGTTTAAGACTATAAAATTCTTATTCTTTGAAAATAATTTTTCATTAGCACTATTTGTTAATAACCACTATAATTTAATAATTACTTCTTGAAATCGCAAGTTTTTCTATTGGATGCTGTATAATTTGTTAAATATTGTGGCAGAGAATTTGTAGACGACGAATATCATATTTGCCGAAGGAAACCTTACTTTATAAAATTCATATAAAATGCCTCGTATAATAAAGTACAAACAGCATGGAGTGTTTCTTCGATCTGAAAAAGTTGATAAAGTATAATAAAATTTCTCTGTGCGAGACTTCGTTTGGGAGATAATTAATTTTGAACGTGTTTGATGTGCGCTTGAAACTGGCTAACGCGTCCGACCAATGGCTGACCTTTCTACTTCTACTATCCGCTCTAGTTGATTTTAATCTGATTAAAAGATTACGAGTCGATGCGATACGTGATACGTGATAAGTCGGCGTAAAACAGATAACACCACACCACCGTTCATATTCACCAGCACAAACATGAGTTGAAAAGGCCTATAATGGTCAGACACGTTACCAAATCATATTCTATCGTACGTGTATTCCAACAATTTCTGAAAGCAATGTTTTAAGATACGAATTCACGAGTAAAAAAATTTCATTGTACGTTTTACAATTATTTTTAGTCGTGGTATCGTCCCACATCCTGCAGAACCCACCCCATCACATTGTACCCGACGCAGCCTGCTTTAAAATTTAACGTAGTACGTGGCGTCATGAAATGCTTGCCGAGAAATGAAGTTTTGAGACGAAATCTCGCTTACCACTACTTTTAGGGAAAAATACACAAAAGCAATTTTCATAGAAAATTTTGTTGGTATCAATAGTAATCAACATAATGATAAATATCGATGAAATCCTTTTTCTCTTTGAAACGGTGGTTCCAAAACTTTTTCGTTGGTGTCTTCTGAAACTAAAAAACTATGTAGCTGCTCCAATAATATACAATCGTCCTGTTAAAAGAATAAAATTTCAATTTTAAGAAATGAAATATCATGTACAAGTATAACAATCAAATTAAGATCCTGGACATAATTCATAATATTTCTTTAAAAAACAAGTAACTGCATAGGAAATCAAATAATAATACCAACATGAAAAAACATACTAGTTCAAGACTATTACTTTTTATCACAAAGGTATCACAAGTTTCTTAAGAAAAACACATAAATATATTAATTAAATATTTGAATAATTAAATAAAATAATTTATTCAAAGAGAATATTGACTGTAGCTATCAGTATTATTTCCAATCGCGTCTAAATGCGCAGGACGTGTCCAAACATTGTATCTTCTACCTCGATAAAGCATCGACGAAAACGACTGTAGGTAAATCGGGGTGCCCTTAGGAACGGTTTAATCGTCGCGAGTTGTTTATGGAAATCATGCTTCTCGCGTTGGCTCCATATCCTGGAGGATTTTCCAGCGCGTTAATGCCGTATTTACGAGAAAGATCACTTATGGAAATTTTGTGTAGTGTCTGTGCATTCGACAAAGTACTGCTCCTGGTGTGTTTGAATCTCGCGCACAACGCTTGAATAATAAATCAAAGCGAAGTGGCCACGTAACTGCGCGTTACGTCTACACGGATCCTATATCCGTCTAAATATTATATTCGCGCGGTGTACTGGCGCGAACTGCGCCCCGGAAATGCCGTAGTTTATAATAATTCAGGCGTGCGTTAATTTCGTATTCCGGACGAGTGTACGGCGCGAAGGACGAGACCCCTTGGGCGGATTAACTTAATACGTTATATACCGTGTTATATTAACGTGCCCGTAATATATATAATGGGAATGATTAATACCGGCTCTGGCTCGAGCGAGCCTGCAAACCGTGCCCCATATTTTACGGGACGTCCCCCATTTTGCCGATGCTTTCAGTCCCGGGGCCATATTGAAGCCGTACGCTAGACACTGCCGTTCACCGTAAATTCGCGCCACCATCGTAAATTCCCCCTAACATACATAATTTTACCCCGTGCACGTGATTGCTCGTCCCTCGTGACGCCATATATATTTTCAATTCGTACCGCGTCACTTTTAATATTAATATGTCGACTCGGCTCCCGGCCAGAAATTGAATGTTTTATGTCGATGATCGCATCCATACCGCGCGCGATTCGAACATCAATTACACCTATCGATATTCAGAACAACTCTACCTGGTCAAAATTCAAGATTAATTTAAGTGTACCGAGTAAAGGTGTCTCAACGGTGCGGTACAGATAAATCATGGCACCATGGTATCGTCCAATCTACGAGATATTTAATTTCGCTGAAGTAACAGATTGACTTCTGAAAATTCCTAGAAGGTTGAAACTTCGTTTTTTGAATAATTAGAAACTACACACACTCTATCATTCGTCGCAGTAATTATTTTTGAAATCTCATAGAAATTTACAAATCCTATCTAGATTTATTTTTATTAATACCTCACCTTCAGAGTTAATTTCTTTGAATTTTTTTTCACTCAATTGTGGACTTCTTAATATACATACTCTTAGTACACAAACGATTTGTATAATTTACTTGAATGAATTTTTACGAATATGAACATGTATTAAGAAAATCTAAGACACACTTAGATCGCATTCTCTACTACCAGATGCACTGGACTACGACGTAATTGAAATTATTGAATATTGTATAGAGAGAACTATTCCTGAACCAGATTGCAGGCCACGATCTAATGGAGATCACTTACTCGAAATTCATTATGAAATCTGTTTACGATTCTATAGCCCATAATGCAATCCAAATGGGATTGTAAGTGATCATAAACTAATTCAAATGGCTGAGCCAATCCACAAAGTGTTATGTAGATTATAGGAGAGGGGCTGTGATATAATTCCGATTACACTGTAATATAATGTAAATTGATTAATGACGAATAGGTATTCCGACATAAAAGAAAATTTAGTCATTACTATTCACTGGCTTTCATTTAAATGTAAATATCTTCGACTAATTTACTGGTCATCTTCAAACGTGAAGGAATTATAATTCACCTATAATAATAATAAATGTTTAATTATTTGTCAATTTGAAAACGACTTTCAAATTTCGTCATTCGAATATAAAGTTTACTTACCTTTACTAAACTTTACTTACCCTTCTCATTATACACTCGTATAGACAGTGTTACAGATGATTTTGTAAGAAATCATGATGCAATTCATGTTGTGTCGCCATAATCCGTAAAGATGTTTAGATTATACCCCCATAACTGATAGTGCAATTCGGATCGTTATGCCGCAGCCCATAGTAGTATTTTGATCGCAGAACTGTAGCTAAAGCTATAATCCAGATCACAGCTGGAGTGGTTCAGGTGCTTCAGATTCAGTATCATCATCAAAAGTCAAGCAGTTCAGATTGCTAGTGCAGCTATTTCAGTTGCCAGTGATTCATCGGCATGCGTCCAAAAGTCAAGCGGTTCAGATTAGTGGCGCAGTCGAATTGGTAATTCAAATCGTTACATATCTAAAAGTCAAATACATAATTACAAGCATTGTAATGAATCGTACAGTCCAGAGTATTTTTCAGATCTTGATAGCCACGGATCGCAAAGACGCTGAAATATTTACTGATTAAAATTTCTATTTTATTTTTACTTAAATCACCAGCAGATAATACGTAATTGTTTCTACGTGTCCGTAACGAACCTTAACGGTAACGAATATAAATTAATCCTAGTATATATGTAGCAATTTTCAAGTAGATTTTACTAATTATATTTTTGGAGAGTACCGAGTATAGCTGAATTTTAAAATAAATTCGTAGTAAATTTAAATCATGAACTCCCTTATGGCCAAACAACTCTATCGTCTCAAATTTGTTAATAACATTACTCTTCAATATTCAACACTAGTAATCTTTTCAAAACTGAAAATCCAATGATAAACCAGCATCGATCGGAAATATCACCGAATTACCATTAATTGAAAGGCAAGGTAAACGGGCAATTCCCATTGGTCGCACGTTCCACTCGAAAGTTATCCGCTGTATCGCCGCGCAATCGCAATCCCTTCTTCGAGCAAAAAATTACCAAGCTCCCGTGCGTAACACCGTAAAACCTGCAACGCGAATTTATGCTCGCTACGCTCGAGAAAAACGTGGAAAGGTAGCAACGACAGACCGTTGAATTAAAGTTTACAAGGGAAGTGCAAAAGTTCCAGCCGACCGCCGGCCGGTGCGTTTCAATTAAGCAACAACGAGCACCGTATTTTCTCGCGTCGATGAATTTTTATGTACGACTAGCGGCGCGTGCAAAACTCAACTGATTACCGCATTACACGGTCAGAAACGAAGAACCGAGGGGGAAAGAGGAAGAGAGAGGGTGGAAGAAGAGTCAGGAGCGGTAAATCCGTTTACGTGCCGCTCGTTTATTCTCATCGAGGGATTAAACGGTAAATTGGCCTTGGCACGCGCCAATTACTCGACCGTTGGGCACGGGCCCACCGGAAACATTGTTTTTAAACTTTCACGAGCAACCGAGGAAGGAGTGGTTGCAATCGGAACGAATTAATTTTCGATGCTCCGAAGGCAAATTCTCGGAGGACCATTAAATTCGCTATCCCCCCGCGCTTGCAAGTGGGAAGGAGAGGAGTGTTAATTAAGAAGAACCGAAACTCGATCGCTGAAAATTTACTCCTTCGCCGAATTAAACAATATCCGAACATGCCGCAGCACGCTCGTTTCTTGTTTGGTGCGGTGCTTTTTCACGTGGTTTCGATGGTTACTTGATTGGTTAAAAAATGTATTGGCACTCGTTCTTCTTCATACATATGTACATTTAGTTTTTCACATATAACATCGATACACCGTTAAATATTGTATTTAAATATTTTGTCAATATTTCTTGCGGTTTCGACATTAAGAACAAATGTAATGTAACTAATTCAATTACTCCTTATCCATGTTTCAGTTACTAACAGGTATTCTGAAAATGATGTATTAAACTTATAATGACAAAAGCATTGTATCGCAAGACCCATTTGCATCATCTTCCAAATATCTGGGAAGAATTAATAAAATTTCACCATTGTGTCCAAGAATACTTTTTTTGTTTTCTTTGAATCTCTTTTGAATGATGCAATATTATTTCTCTGCAATAATTAATACAAATAATTCTAATTAAAATTTGAAATCTTCTAATCAATCTTTCTCTAATATTAACTTTCCATACTTTCAATTTATGTAATGTTTGGAATTTCCTGCATAAACACAGTAATAATCACTAACAATAATTCTGAATAAGAGTTGAATTCTTCGAATAAATTTTCTCGAATAAAAAATCTCGCATTATTCTCAAGCTTCCCACAAAGCTTTACGTATATCTGTATTCGAAAACGGCTTGCCAATACTAAACTTTTTCCATTAGAGTACATTTAAAATGCAACGAGTTTAGTATTCGCGAATACCTTGCCAACCACAACTACACTCGTTGTTGGCAGCAATTGGATTAAGCAACGATGCAGGTATTGCGTAAGCGAAATTATGATACCTTAAAAAGAACGAAACCATCCAACAAGCCCTTTAATACCAACAACGGGTAATCATTTACACTTTACCCGTTGTTCAAGGCGCAGGGAACGATGAAATATCACTGTACGTAAAAAATGTTCGACTAAGGAATACGGGCACCACCATTCGAGATAATATGGGGCAACGGGGTTGAATTAAAGGACTAGGGACTTTAGGGGCTCGAGCTCCAGCTGGGGTGACTCCAGAGATTAATTTGAGGCAATTTGATGAATTCAGCCGCAAGCATAAACCACTACAAGCTTCTAACATCTACACTCTTGTAGTAAATGTTAGAAACCAGTAAGTGAGGAAGAGATGAGAATAACAGGCTGATAATGAGATGCAGCTTTTAAGGTGAAAACACTATAAAGGTTTATTGTAGTTATAATAGTACAACGTGATATAGCGGTTACACACAAGAGCTTCACAGGTGAAGAAACAAGCGAAGACAGAAGAAACAAATGACACATACATAATGCTTGCTGTATGCATTGATACTCTCTCAACAGTAAATAATGTATTAACTTCTTTCAATTCCCTAATGGTGAAATAGTTCTATGGATTTACTTGCGTTTAATGACAACTAATGCGATTCACATGAGGGAATTTCACGACACGAAAGTTCTGATTTCAATGATACTTCCCGTGCATGTAGATGGTACAAAAAACAATTTTTACTTCATACGAGAATTAACTCTGAAGGGGTGGAATCTGCTCTTAAAGTTTGTACGTATGTTTTTTTCATTTATTTCAGATAACTTTGTAATAGGACAGCTAGAGCGAAGCTGGAAATATAAACATTGTTCAACTTTTTATGCTCTGCCAGACTACTTACAAGAACTTTTTCACGAAGCGTCATTAATAAGCAAAATGATTTCTATATGAGTTATTATGAGTAAAATTGTATAAAGTTTCATTTGCCCATTTGATTCAAATACCTTTTGTTCAAATATTTTGTTAAAAATTTCGTTCCTTCATGCGATATGGTACAGTTCATACAAATTATGTAATTAATAAATACTATACAAACAATACAATTTATAAGTATCGTGCAAATCATACGAATTATTATAAAATTTCTTCAAGAAATATTGCATACATATTATACAAGTTATTCAAATTACACACGTTACATAAATCGAACAAAATATGCGTGTTCCGCAAAAACTATTTCTTAACGTCCAAAGCATTTCTGACTATAATGGCTTCCAATATAATTTCTCGACGATCGTTCGTTCGAACTGCACGCGGGTTTAATGCGTTCCGCAACTAATTTCCGGACGCTATTAATTTTTTTCCTCTCGACCGCGAATCGTTGCCAAGAAATGGAAAACGGGAATGCCGCCGGTTCCGCAAACGACACGCGTCTGGCCGCGTTCACTTTTTTCCGCTTGCGGACTGACGGTAACGAGAGCAAATGCGTTCTCGCGCCAGCGAGAAAGAGAAAGAAACTCCTGCTGCCCATTTGCATTCTACTGGATAATAATGTTCCCGCGTAAATGCGTCTTTTGAACGGTTGGCGTGGAGTAATTAACGTCTTCGCGAATTCACGACGCACTCTTTTCGAGTTCCTTTTGTCCATATCGAGCATGTTGCTGAAATTCAGTCTACAATGTTACGCGAAAATGAAGCACGAATGGGGCCGGGTCCATTACGTGGGCCACGCAGTCGCAAGAAAATAATATGCTTTAGAAAATATTACACCGATGAAAAAGCCGTGTGTACTATAGCGCCGTCAGGGATCGCGTAACCGTGCTTTTTGCCCGTGACAAAAAAAAAGAAAAACTAATTACACATTTCCATTTTCCTGGATACCGCGCGCTCGCATGGATGCGTTCGTTTTTCGAGCCGAAATATACGGAAATTAAAATAGCGTAATGAATTTTCCAGTGAATTTACAACGCGCACTTCCGACGCCACTTTTTGCGACGTCGAACGAATGGAGCATCAAAAATTGTCCTACGACGATAAGCGTAAACGGATTACGTTCGTGCTTCACGCTCCCGGCCGTCAAGTAACTATATCTCAGGAAATATTGCACCAATGAAAAAACCATGTGTATTCCATACAGGCGCGACACGAATTCCGTGTCCACGTAAGTAGCTTATTTACGAGCGCTTTATATCTATGGAAATGGGCGGCAAAAATCTGGAGAAATAGTAAATATATGAGAGCGGTGCGTACACGTATGCGCCGTACCTGTGGGACCTGTACATTTGCTCGGATTTCATAATCGCAGCTGCGTTTTGTGGCTACGAGAAGTCCCATGCTCGCGACAAATTGTTATTTGTATCGTGTCTCTATTACGTAATTGCGAGCGAGTATAAACATCATGGCAGGAAGTTATTTCACGAACGCGTAAAACTGTACACCCAGAAATGTATATGAATTAATATTTAATATTGTACTTTTTAATCTAGAAGTGTTTTTGCTGTAACTTCTTCAATTTTAAACATTCTTTAAAACTTTGTTCTTTTCCTTTCAAGGTTGAGGTCTCTTGAGATAATCATAGTATCGATTACTTTGGAACGTTCAAAAAATCACAGGAACGAAAAATAAAACTGAAATCGAGATTTGATATGATTTCTTTCCTTTTCTCGTGTCGTATTTTTCATTTCTCTGTGTGTTTATTATTGTTTACTGGATCCAGACAGCTGAGAAATCCGAAGTGCTTGAATTCTTTTTTATTAAAGTCCTCACTTCAGTGTACCCTCTGTAGCTAATAATAAAGAAATGCCATCTGAGCAAGCAATTAAGAAATTCTTTCTTTTTCATTCTTACTATGGTACAGGTTGTTACAAATCTTAATCCTAGCTGCTTTTTTTAATTAAATAAGTTATTGGTAAATAAAATAGAGACAAATTGCTGCGTCCTCGTGCCTCGCGAGGATGAAAAGCGTCCTTAGAAATTCTTCTGGTGCTCTCGGTTGTCATTTCTTCGATATTAGCCGCATGGGTGTACACTCGAGTAAGAATTTTAATAATAAAAAATTCAAATAACTCGGCTTTCTCATCCGTTCAGTCTCGCTAAACAACGATAAAACCATATTCGATTTCCACGTTTATATAAAAGGACTCTACCTAACCATTCCTTGCTTCAACTGGTTTTTTCACTAAATTAAATATTTCTCCTCATAAATTCTTAAATCTTAACCTTTGAATGCATAAGCGGTAATAAATAATATTTTCAACATATTTTCCACGAGATAGACAACAATTTAAAAACATATCTCGATTGGTATGGTTAACAGATTCCAAGCTTCTTTTCGAGTCATGGTATTTGAGTAGGTCCGTATTGCTTGCATTGCTGATAAGTGGAAGGTATGGTCACTTAACAACGAGTGAAGACCGAGGTAAATTGAACAGGTAGCAGTGATCATAGCTAGTACAAATGCACGTGTAAATGTTAATCCCTCTAATTGAATTGTTTCCTTAGTAATTGGACGAGTCTGGATACTTGCATGAGAACCTCACTACCTGCATTGTATTAGGTTATATAACAATTTCATTCGCGTTTTGCCGTAAGAATATTAAATACTGATAATTTTATATAGAACTTACCTAATGTTATATACATAGAATCTACCTCTTATAAATCTACCGTTAATTGACGCAGTTGTGAACATTAAAGGGACATTAAAATCTTTTTAAGGTGTTACTTAATGAAGATTTCAAATCAACTCCCTTAAACGTAAAATAAACGTAAAATCCAATAATTACACAAGCCAATACTAATAAGGGGCG